TAATGACAGCTGCTCCTCTGCTGTCTTTAAAAGCAAGAGCACCTCTTCTGCAGACCTCAGAAGCGAGAGCATTGCTTTGACCCTGGTGCCAGCCGTGCTGGAAGTAACCCAGTGACGGGAGCTCCGTAAGTAACTTGCCTCGCCGTGAGCTTTGAAATTGGGACCTAATCCTGCCTTAGAAGTGAGTATGGGAGGCTGGATTCTATACTATGTCTGAATTTCAAGTGGTCAGGGTGCTTGGAAAGTCTGGCTGGCACATGCTTGGAATCTAATACTATAACGGCTTGACAGCAGTGTGGTGACTTTTACAGACACTCTATGTAAACCGTGTGTGTTTGAGTCGCAGAAAAACCACTTGGTCCTTGTGAGAATGTGGCCAAGTCATTTAGCTTCTCTGAAACTCGGTTTCTCCATCAGCAAAATGGAGCTGGCAATAGCGCAGCCCTAAAGGGGTTGCTATAGGGTTTAAAGGTGTGCGATGAAGAGACAGCTGATGTGTTCAAGGGAACTTTCTCAACAGGATTTTCCTATTGGCTACTTGCAACACTGGAATCCGGGATCCTCTGTCCTCACCAGGCTGTCTGTCCTGAGAAGCCTGGGTAAGTCCTGTGGGCAGCAGGCTCCCACATCTGCTGATTAGAGACCCCCTAAGGATGGCAAATATCTATGCCCCTTGAGGTTGCTTTGGGTTGTCTGCTGTGTCTAAGAGAATTCCGAGGGGAAGTTTTATCTTGTTGGAAGGAGGCTTAGTGGGGAGTGTCTCCAGGAGCCATGAGTGGCAAAAAATCAACTTCTTCACTGTTGGACTGAGGGCATCACCCGTTCTGCACAGATGTGCAGAATTCCCGGGGAGAGAGGAACCTCCTAGGCAAACAGCTGCTGGAGCTGCTGGGGGAGCCATGGACACGCTCCTGTGCTCTGGCGTGTGGCCACATGTTCATCTCTTTACCCTTTTCCTTTTCCTTTTCTTTCTTTCCTTTTTTTTGGGGGGGGGGGTGAGTACCATGGTGTCATGATAGCTCACAGCAACCTCAAACTCTCGGCCTCAAGCGATCCTCATTCCTCAGCTTCCCAACTAGCTGGAACCACAGGTGCCTGCCACAACGTCCAGCTAAGTTTTCTATTTTTAAGTAGAGACCGGGGAGTGGGGCAGGAGTGTCTCACTCTTGCTCGGGCTGGTCCTGAGCTCCTGAGCTCCGGGAATCCACCTGCCTGGCCTCCCAGAGTGCTGGGGTTACAGGCCCGGCCTCTTAACTCTTCTCTGATCCCTGCTCTTTCCCTTCTCCAGGCCCTTTAGTCCTGAAACACCCACCCGACTCCACCCTCTCCCCACAGGAGCTTTCTCTCCTTTCTCCAGCTGCATCCTGCACACAGACTTATTTTGTCTGGCCTTTCCCAGCTTCAGCTGCAGCGGCTGTTTTCTTTTAGATTTTCATTGCTGGCCTGAACCCACCACCTGCCTGGTCACCACAGGCATTTGCTGAGTGTTGGAGGGGCTGCGGGCTTTCTGGGCACTGAGGACTATTTGTTTGTTTGTAAGTTGTCATCAGAAGCTCCGGTTGTCTTTACACGGGATGGTCTTTGACCACTGTGCTGTCTATCGGCCTCTCTCCGCTGTCTTCATTGCTGTTCCAGATAAGTAACGCGACGTGAGACTGTAGGTCGTTTCTTTCTGTTTACCATTAGTTACCTATTAGCCTTGTTACGTTCTTAACATTCTAAGATCTGAAATCTTTTCATAAAACCATAGTAGTTCATCACCTCCTGGCTTAGCCCTTCAATACTGAGTCCATTTTACATGGATTACAGCTCCTGATACCTGTCAAAACATTTTTCTCTCCTCAGTTTCTTTTTCTTCTTGAATTGTGTTTTTTCACGTTAACTTTTGCAAGTTGTAGCTTGTTCTTCTAATTCCAATCTATAGTATATTTTCATCAGTTTTTTTTTCCAGCCAAACACCAGTTTATTCTCCTCAAATCTGGGTCATTGCCCCTCATTTTATATGGATAGGTTGACCCCTAACAATCAGAGAAATCAGGACCTCGTGCCTCACAACGCACCATCCGTATTGTACACGCAGCTCTGAGCTTTAAAGCCATAATCATCATGGAAGCTTCAGGAGTTTCCCTTCATGAGTTTTGCTCAAGCTGAGCCAGTTTATTCTGCTCATTGGGGCCTCATCCTGCCCTTTCCTGCCTCCCTAAGAAGGGTTCTGGAGCCCCAAGGCAGTGCCCACAGGCAGGGCAGAGTCCCTTTCCCTTTCCTCAGTCTCCACAACAACCACGCACAGTGTATCCCAAGAGAGCACTTGTGCCTCTGGGAGACCCAGACAGAGCTGTGGACCTGCGTGTGGCTCTGGGCAGGGTCAGGGGAGCCTCAGTCAGCAGCTGCTGTACCCCTGAGGGAAGCTACGGCTCCCTAACATGGAAAGCTTTTCAGCTGGTCCCTCCCCTTTTTTTTAACTCCTAGATTTTATTTATTTTCCATTTTTATTTTATGGTATTTTTTATTTTTTATTTTTTATTTTTTGCAGTTTTTTTCTTTTGGCCAGGGCTGGGTTTGAATCCACCACCTCTGGTATATGGGGCCGGCGCCCTACTCGTCTGAGCCACAGGCGCCACCCTATGATATTTTATTGTTTTTTACTTTGCTCTTTGTTTATTTTGTTTTAAAGTTAATTTTTATTAAATCATAACTGTATACACTTATGGGGTACAATGTGATGATTTGATATACAATGTGGAATGCTTAAATCAAACTGATTAAACATAACCATCACCTCACTCACTTATTTTTATGGTAAGACGTTTATAATATATTCTTAGCTGTTTTGAAATGTACCCTTGCATTGTGCACTTTAGGGGGGATCCCACCAAATACCCTCCCTCCAGTTTTCTTATTTTTTTTCATGGTATTCACATGCACCTAGCTCTGCGTCCACCTTTTGTTTTCTGTATCTAATGTGGCTGGTGACACGTCCAGCTGGAGTTGGGCTCGGACTCCTCCATTTTTCAGTGGAGGTCAGTGGAGTTGAGGGAAGATGATATCGCAGGAGATGCGTTAAGCAGATCTTCTGGATGTGGGTGATCCTTCTTTGCATCTGGTGACAACATGCATTAAGGGCATCACCTGGCTGGTCCACCCTAATATCCCCAAAGATAACTGTCACCTAAAGGAAGACCTGGTGCTGCCAACATGTACGGCTGTGGTTGGTATATGCTATGTAGAGATGGGGCCTTGGAACATGGTTCACCCCTCCTTGCAGACCCCATGGCAGGTGGTCACCTTGTTGGTTCTTCTGGGCCCCTGCCTCATGACTTGCTCTAGCTTTGAAGCCCGGAGGCTCTGGCTCACGAGTGCTGCTCCCGTCTCCTATGGTTGCCCTTTCTACACTCTTCCTTGTGCATCTCAGACATTCACTTTACTATTCAGTCTGTTTCCTCTGTTTTGTGATTTTTATTAGGAATCCTTTATAATTTATGCACCACAAAACTACCCTTTTGTCTTCAAGAAAAACCATGTTACATTTCTGTAAATAACTTTTCTATCGTTTTAGAGTGAGGCCAGCAAGAAGAAACATTCCAAACCTTCTGAATTAAAACTGAAGGTCATCCTACTTTTGACTTACTAAGAAAGGTAAGAAACCCCCTTTCTGTGGGTTCAAAGTGGGCCTCTTAAGTATGTTCTCATTCTGTCTCTTAGACAAGTGGTTCTCAACCTGTGGGTCACGACCCACAGGAAATGTATTAAAGGGCATTAGAAAGGTTGAGAACCACTGTCTTAGACCTATGATCCAGCTGAAAGGGAGGGACACAGCCCTGCACAGAGATTCTACAAATGAATGAACAAAGCTAACAGTGTTTTCCATCTGCTACTTTCCTGGCACCTACTTTTCCAATGCTTTCAGCCTTTCACCGTATACATCACAACTTTAGCAATACACAATTTCTTACCTGTAGTCACAAAAGACTCAAATATTATTTTGTTGCAACATGTTGCTAGGATCCAGGCCTTGAACAAAATGGATTTGTTTTGAGTGAACCTGCAGCTTCTAAATTCCAACTCAATACTCCATCTTAAAAAAAAAAGGGGGGGGGTGGCACCTGTGACTAAAGGAGTAAGGTGCCGGCCCCATATACCGGAGGTGGCAGGTTCAAACCTAGCCCCAGCCAAAAACTGCAAAGAAAAAAAAAAGAAGAGGGGACATAGAATGACATAGGAGACAGAGAATGCAAGCGAGAGAAGAAAAAAAAGAGGAAGACCAACCCTTGTAAATAAATTTTACCATTTAAAAAGGAATATCAATCATTTCTCACTAGAAAGGAATGGTGAGACTCACATGGCCGGGTTGTATAAACCACTTTATTCCCTTTGCATCAGCCTTTCTCTGCTTTGCTCCTATAGTCACTCGGAATCCCACAAAAACATTAGACATTTGAGGGCAAGCAAGCTCTAGATCAGCAGCAAATACATGATTGTTATTCAGGAAACTATGTAATGAATGAATCAATCAGCGAGTGAATGAATATAATTATCTGAGTGAGGAGCTTTGACCATATTTGTGCCATGAAAGGGGAAATCAAGTGGGTTGTGTACCACGAACACCCGTGCTCTATTGTATAGTTTGCTGCTCTATTGTATAGTTTCTAAGCCTACTTAATTGGTACCAGTTGGAATCTCTTTTTATTCATCACCAAGAAAACCACAAACAAGCCTTTTATCATTTGGCTCATCATTTACTCTGGATTTCCAGCTTCTCATGTTTGGAATAGAGAAGAAATGATGATACTTTCCTTACAGGATTCTGAGACTATTAAGTGAACTTCTGCACGTAAAAGGAGTTCAGACAATGAGATCTCTAAACGGGAGTGTCATTAAAGCAAATACCACCACAGAGCATTCATACGTGGTTAAAATACATTGTAATTTCTATAATCGGTCACTCAAAGAAATCCAAGTGCAAACGTAATTCTTGATCTGTCTTTATTTTTCTTGCTCAGGGCATCATGGACATCGAAGCATATTTTGAAAGAATTGGCTATAAGAACTCTAAGAAGACCCTGGACTTGGAAACATTAACCGACGTTCTTCAGCACCAGATCCGAGCTGTTCCCTTTGAGAACTTTAACATGCATTGTGGGGAATCCCTGGAGTTTGACTTACAGGCCGTTTTTGATCAAATTGTAAAAAGGAAGCGGGGTGGGTTGTGTCTCCAGACCAATCAACTCCTGTACTGGGCTCTGACCACAATGGGTTTTGAGACCACAATGTTGGGATCGTATATTTACATCACTAAGACTAAACAATACAGCAGCGACATGGTTCACCTCACACTACAGGTGACCCTGGGTAGCAAGAAATACCTCGTGGATGCTGGGTTTGGATCCTCCTACCAGATGTGGGAGCCCCTGGAGTTAGTTTCTGGGAAGGATCAGCCTCAGACGCCTTGCATCTTCCGCTTGACAGAAGAGGATGGAATTTGGTACCTGGACCAGATCAGGAGGGAGCAGTATGTTCCAGATAAAGAATATCTTAACTCTTATCTCCTAGAAAAGAATAAATATCGAAAAATCTACTCCTTTACTCTCGAACCTCGAACACTGGAAGATTTTACAAAAGTGCAGAAACCTCCAACCCCCCTGCTTCTGACCACAACCCTGTGTTCTTTGCAGACCCGTGAAGGGCTCTACTGTCTAGTGGGCCGCACCTTGTCCACCAAGAAGTTCAAGTATAAGGACAATGTAGATATGGTAGAGTTTAAGACTCTGACTGAGGAAGAATTTGAAGACGTGCTGAAAAATTTGTTTAATATTTCTCTGGAGAAAAAGCTTGTGCCCAAACATGGTGATGAATGCTTTACTGTTTAATGTTTGTATTCTCCAGCTCACCAGTTATCAGAGGATGAGCTATCCCATTTCAGATAACTTTGACGAAAATCCTAGACACGAAACTGTTTCACCCATGAAAATGTCTCGCATATAATTAAATAGCTTGCTAATGAAACATAACAACACGCATTTTTCAATTAATGATAAAGTCATTTTAATGACAGCCTGTGATCATTTGGGGAATCAGTGATTGATGCTATAAGACTTTTAATACTGGTTTTTTATTAAATCAACAGAAAATTCTTACTGGTCGATGAGGAAATGGAATATTGTGGAAACAATAATTATAAAGTCTATTAAAACATTTTTGGCTAATATATGAATCAAAGTTTATTTTTTCTTTTGGAGACTTAGGGTACTGGGGGCCTAAGCATTTGTTTCTTAGTGGCATCTTCTTTCCATTCTCTCCTAGTTATATTCTTTTACTCCTTTCCAAGCTTTGTAACCAGAGAAAGAACATGGGCTTCTTTGTGTAGATCTGATTTGAAGTCATGTGGTCACTTGGTGAATTACTTTTTAAATCAGTGGCTTTGATTCCTAAGAGGTAAAATGGGGATAATACTTAGATTATTCAGTGCCAGCCCTAGTGTAAACTCTCAACACATATTTGTTTGCTGGATGAATGAATCATGCCAGTAATGTTTGATGATCATTTCACGAACCATCTTCTGCCTCCTTTCTTTTTTTTTTTTTTTTTTTTTTGCGGTTTTTGGCCAGGGCTGGATTTGAACCCACCACCTCTGGCATATGGGGCCAGTGCCCTATTCCTTGAGCCACAGGTGCCGCCCCTGCCTCCTTTCTTTATGTCCCTCCAGCTTGAAATCCTGGCCCCCCCGGCCAGGATCTGCCTGCTCGATGCCCCAGACATAAGACTGTGTATTGGGCTTCCGAATAGGAATCTTTAGTTACCTAGAACTCAGGTTTTCTGTTTGTAGATTTCAATCTATAATTGGAACTTGTAAACCAGTTCTAACATCAGTCTCTCTCTTGAACTTGAGTTTGCTGTAATAAGGTTAAGAAAAAAGCAGAGAGTGGAATGAAGAAACATGAGTTAAGAGAATAAGTTACATTGGAGCATGGGCACTTTATATAGCTATGTAACCATTGGGATATACTGTTATGGGGGAATATCTCAGAAAGAGGTGGATATGAGACCTGGCTTGAGTGGCAAGGAAGGAAGGGTGATACATTTCATTATCTGACAGCTTGCCGTCTTCCTCACTGTCTTGGCCTTGTGTAGCTCTGTCATTACCTTCCAGCAATGTCAGATCATTTCTGGTCCTATCAAGCATAAAAGACTTTCTCACATTCTGACCAAGACCACGTCAACGGAGGAGACATTGACAAGAAATGCCAACCAGGTCAACACGTGGCCCAAGTAGAATGATGCAGTTCTATAAAAATGAGTCAAGGAAGTCACATTGCACAGTGATTATCCTAAAATCCAACATAATTGTCTTTTTTCTTGAATATATTTACCACAAGGATAAAAACTTAAAATATGTTCAAAGGGACTCAGAGGTATAAAATTTAGCTGCTAGTCTGAAGGCTTTTGCCCTTACTAAGTAATGTTAACTTTTCTCAAATGAAATCTAAATGAACAAAGGAGAATCTTGACAATTTATCTGGCCAGAGATTTGAAGGTGCCTCTTAATTGTTTCTGGTTTTGGAGGCCTTTTAGAGATTAAAATGTGCCAAGTCCTATCAAAACCCCCAAACAAATAAGGTAGCAAGGCTAGGGTATTGGATGTGTATTTCAGTTCCTTCTTTCCTCATGATAAAGTTGAGTATGGACATTTATTTCTTGCCGTCCTTCACTAAATCAAGAAGTAGATTGTATTGGCATTCAGGCTGTACCCTGTATCCTCTGAATCTTGGAGACAGCTGCTGGAAGTGGCTGAGTGATGGCCAGAGGTAGAACTACAGGCTTTATTGTTGGAAGGGCCCGGGCACATGGTTATCTTGTGGCTCCTGGGGTCGACTTCTCCCCGCTCCACACCCATATGGAGCTGGCTGTAATGGCTGTAGTGTAAGGTTCTTCTGGGCAAGTAGCCTAAGGCTGGCTACACACACACACACACACACACACACGCACACGCACACACACCCATTGTGTAAAGAGGGAAAGGTGGTTGCCCCAAAGGAGTAGCTGGAAAGACTCAAACCTAGGAGTCCCTTGCTTTCTCAATTCCTGGCAGTAAGAAGCAGAAAACTCTTCTGTCCACCTGGAGCAGACTTCGGTTGCATTTCCTACTTCTTTCTTTGGGTCATGACCAAGAGAGAGAAGCAGAACTGAAATCAAAGTAGGGTCACTGAGGAATTGGGAAGCCATCCTGGAAGGGTGCCCAGGGAAACAGGGCAGGGTGCCTGGCCACACAGGTGCTGGCAGGCAGGCGTCAGCAGCACGCTCTGCCTCAGAGGGTCCAGCAGCAGCGTCCCCCACAGAGTGACCAGGTCAGGCCTGGGATCATTGTTCCCTCCTGACATCACTCTCCTTCTTCAACACAGAGACCAGCAAGCAGGCAGTGGCTTCGCATTCAGCTCTGTCTGCCCCACTCAACTCCAAGGTCCTTTAGGAAAAAGAAATCCAGGTGCTTCTCAACAGTAGCCCAGTGACTTAGTAACAATTTGGGCAATAGACACATCAATACAACTCAAATTCTGCACGTGTCAGTTCCTCCTCACAGTTTAGTACCGCAGCCAACTCTCAGCTTTAAAACCAGTTGTACTGGTCAGAGGTGAATTTCAATCACTGCTCAGAAAGGCCATTATCCAACACGTTCAAATAGGAAAAGGATATTGTGCAGCCTGGGCGCCCAGAGAAATAACTTGTCACTGTCAATGTCACCAGACTAAGGCTCAAGTTTCATTTGCAAGCGAACTCAACCCTCCTCATTTTCTTTGCCACGGGACTCAGAATATAGTAACAAATATCTCCTGTTCTAAAAATTCAACTTCATCTTTTTTTTTTTTTTTCTCAGCAGGCAGGCTTTCTGACGTGAACAGATGTGCGTACTTGGCTAGCACTATTTTTTGTTACTGACTCTGGTTTGTGATCTCCATCAATCTGCCAGTCTGCACCTGACACTGTCTCAGTTCTCCAGCCCAGGAGCCACGCAGGCACAGGGGGAATCGCTCATCCATGTCAACAATCCGAACTCTGGGCTGTTTACATTGTTGTAACCATTACCTACCCGCAGGGAAACCACTCACTCTCTTTCCATCAGAAAACAACATAGTCCTTTAAAATTCAACTCATTCAGAACCAAGAACAAAACAAACCAGTTAGCACGTAGATGGCTCAAACATTCTGACTTCCGATCCTCTTTCTCCTTAACAGCTCGCTCCTTCTGAGACACAGGTATTCTGGTCTCCCCTTAATCTTCAGTGAGTAATCTCAGACAGCTTTTTTTCTTTTCCCCTGTGGAGATCCTGCCTGCAGTCTCACTGGTCTCTGAGCAGGCCGCCCATCCCCGCCGTCTGCCCCACGCATGCCCACTCCTCTCCTCTGTCTTGGGTTGGAAGTGCCAGAAAATGAATGATCTGGGTCTCTAAAAATGGGCTTTTAGTTACACACATTGTCACTAATTCTCCTCCACTACCTGCAAAATCTGTCTCATTGCTTGTATTTCATAGAGGCCTGACACTCATAGAGACTCAATACTGCCCAGAGTTAAACATTCAGTAGAGATCACAGTTAGATCAGCAAGTGCTATGGGCTGAATTGTGTCCCTCATAATTTATGTATTAAAGTGTAACCCTCTGTACCTCAAATTGCACCCATATTTGGGGATAAGACCTTTAAAGAGTTCTTTTTTCATTAAAGTTTAATATACAAATAACCATTGTATACCATTAACAATTAGAGAATTAAAGTTAACATGACAATACAAAATATAAAATACATATAAATAATTCTTCAGAAATATATAGTATTTCTACATAGAAAATTTCATTGAAAATATAAAAAGATCTTGACCAGTTTGATGAGAGTATTTCAAAATGCACATGAAAACAGCACACTGTACCCCATGATTTCATTAATGTACACAGTTATGCTATAATTTAAAAAAAAAGAAAATATTAAAAAATCCATGTCTGTATATATTGCAAAATTGTTATTGATGTTTTTATAATGTGACGGTTAGTGTAGGCCTTAATCCAAGCTGAAGTGGTGTCCTTGTAAAAGGAGGAAATTTGGGGACAGAAAAAGAGACACCAGGGGTACACAGGCACTCACAGAGGAAAGACCATGTGAGGACACAGTAAGAAATTTTCCATCTCCCAGCTCAGGAGAGAGGCTTCGGAACAAGGAACCCTAGGGGCACCTTGATCTTGGACTTTCAGCCTCCGGAACTGTGAGAAAATACGTTTCTGTTATTTAAGCCCCGAGTGTGTGGAATTGTGTTACAGCAGCCTCAGCAAAGCAAACTAATACAGTTACAAACTGGATTTAGCTGCTGGTAACCGAGATCTAATAACAACGGCTTAAACTAGGGGTTGACAAACAATGACCCATGGGCCAAATCTATTCACTGCCTGTTTTTGTAAATAAAGTTTTATTGGAACACAGCCATGCCCATTTGATTACCTGTTGTCTACGGCCACTGTCTTTCTGCAGTAGCAGAGCTGAGCAGTTGCAACAGGGACCAGATGGCCCACAAAGCCTAAAACATCTTCTATATTGCTTTGTTTACTATACTTACCAGAATTTACTGTATTTACTATACATCCCTCTACAAAAAACCGTTTGATGACCTGTGTCTTAAACAGGGGTTTAGAGGTTTATTGTCTCATAGAAAAGAGGTCTGGAGGCTGGCAATCCAGGCTTGCTATGGCAACTCCTCCCCAGGGTTGGGGACCTGTGCTCCTCCTCTGATCTTTTTGCTCCACCATCTTCAGGGAGCCATTTGTAGCTTGTGTCCTCAAGGCATAAAATGCCTGCTGGGCCTCTAGCCATCATATCTGTGTTCTAGAAA